GACATAGTTTAGTGGGTTGATAGGGCTGGGACAAAGGCTGACTCGATCTTCAAGGTCTCTTCCAGCTGAAACTATTCTATGATTCTATGATTCTAATTTTAACATCATGTAGATTATGCAGAACTATGAACTAAATATAAAAAAGGAATACTAGGATTGTAACATTAAAGAACAGACCCAAAAAGCATTAGGACCCAAAAACAATAGGAAAAACTTTTTCACTAGGAGAGTGACAGAGCACTGGCACAGGCTGCCCGGCTGCCCAGGGAGGTTGTGGAGTCTCCTTCTCTGAAGATATCCAAAACCCACCTGTGTGACCTACTGTAGGTGATCCTGCTCTGGCAGGGGGGCTGGACTAGATGATCTTTCGAGGTCCCTTCCAATCCCTGACATTCTGTGATTCTGTGATATCCATTCAAGAAAAATGCTACCGTGACAGATAGAAACGCTGTTTCACTGTTTACTTCAGTCACAATTTTCATTCCAGTCCATCACCCTTAACCATCAGACCAGAGCCAGTAAACAGTGGAAGACACCTGTCATGGGAAAGGAAGCATAACTGTAACGCCCTGGAAATCTAAGCCCGAGATCTTCATGAATTAATCTGGAAATACCCTTCCACTCCCAAACAAAAACTCCCAACACTGCAACTGCACGCACATCAGAGAACACGACTTCAAGCAAACAAAAACTCATTACCTAGCTAGACACCAGCACCTACAGAAAATCACATTGCTGTCACATAGACTGCAGAGATGGTAAATCCCACATGACTGCTGTCAAAAGAAAGCCAACACAGGAATACCTGAGTTTATTATGAACAAGAAAGCCTCAGCCTGCTGTGATTCACTGGGTCCACTGCTCTCAGTGAGTATCATTAAGTAGCACACACAGATCTGAGGCACCTGAGTATTTTCATTTTCCTAATAACAACTAACTAACACACAAAGAGAAGCTCACACAGTGGTCTTCCCAAATTTCCTGGCACTGAACTCCTCTCAGCATACAGTGGCACTTAACTTCTGCCGTACAACTTTGTCCGGCCACGCTCTGAGTTAAAGCACGCATGTCTTCTTTGACCAGCGTACTTACGAGAGGTGGAGGAAGACTTGGCAAATTTATTTCCCACAGTTCTCTTATTTCCTTTGGTACCAGACACCTTATACCAGGGCCCGCTAGAAGAAAAGTCCTCTGTTAACTCTGCTTAGGTTTAGCAGGTTAGATTCCACTTTGGTATCTCGGCACATAAATTTATTATCTGTAGAAGACCCTGAGTCATCCAACAGGAGAGGAACAGCAGTAATTAATTCATCTCTACCTTGTTTTACAA